CCCACTAAAGCTTATGCCCAAATAAATCTGTTAGTCTTTAAGATGCCACCAGACTCCTTGTTGTTTTGATAGCTGTATAGTAGTTTATAGTTAGTTAAGATTACTTTGAGGGACTCTCCCCCACCCTAGTTTTCCCCAGGCACCGGGGCATGCCTCGGTCGCAGGAGTTTAAGCTGTGCGAGAGGTGTGCAAAACCTATGCCCAGAGGCGATCCGCATGCTGCTTGTCTTAAGTGCCTAGGAGAAGGTCATCAGACAGACCAGTGCCCAATTTGCAGGAGCTTTAGACCCAGGACTAAGAAAGAGTGGAACTATTGTTGAAAGCTCCTCCTGATGGAGTCGGCCTTCTGACCTCAGCCAGTACCGGAAGCAGCACCGGCATCATCGGTGCACAGCGCCCCGGCCTCGGTGCAGGATGCCCCGGCACCGAGGAAGGAGCATTGGCACCACTCCCTGGCTCATAAGGCCAGATCTAGCAGGCAGCACCGCTTACAGTCCCCAGTACCACATAAGAAAAAGAAGGCGGACGGGGTCATTCCCCCATTAAGAAGCTGCGAGGGGATTCCAGCGGGGCGGCGTCCCACGGCGGGACACCCACAGCTTGGTCCTCAAGACCCAGCATCGTTGACTCCAGCCCCGACTGGAGGTCTGTCAAATCTGGTGCTGGTGGACTCCCCTCCCCGCCAAATACCTGTGAGGCAGCATGGGACCTTATTGCATGACGGCGCAGTCCCTGGCCCCACAGATGTGAGCTCTGGCACCGCTGCAGATGCCGGCCCAAGTTAAGGCACTGTCAGCGGCACTGACGATGGCACCGTCTGCAGCATCTATGACGGTGCCACATATGGCACCATCTCCGGCACCCTTCACGGCAGCGATGGCAGCACTGCCCCCTGTTCGTCATCATGGCAAGCCCACGATGTTACAGCGCCACTCCCTGGCACCATCAGGCTCCTCTCCCACTCCCCCGTGGTTGGGTTCAGAATACTCTTCTGAGTTGGAGGCGGAGTTTTCTGTCTCCTGACGCAGCTGGTACTGCTCGCGGTCCTGGCACCGCAGAGTTGTGGACTCGTCGGCACCGGCGGTATCCTTGCTACCTCAGTGGCAGGGCCCAGTACAATGGCCCTTTTGGACTCCTTGGGCCTATCATCAGGGTCAGGGCTCTAGGACCGCATCAGTGGCGTCTGCACACTGTGCCTCCCCCCTCCCCCCCCCCACTCCCCCCAAGCAACATTGATGTCTCGCCACACCTCCAGGGCTCCAGAGGACCCCGCACAAGACAAGGATTCTGGGCTGTCACACTCAGGCACGGCACCCGAACCAGCGCCACCAGTTGTACTGGAGCCACCTCCCGTCATGGGGGGGAGCAACGCACCCGACCCAGCTTCCAGGGAGCCAGAAGGGCAGGAAAACCTGGTCCCACAGGCCTCCTCCTCCTCCTTGCTGGACGAGGTGGTGGCAGGCATCGCCACCACTCTGCCAGCAATGGACACCAGGGGATACCAGGACCTTCTTAGGAGGGTGACTCTAAACCTCCAGGTGGAGGAAATCACGGAGGAGTTGGACCCAAAGGTGGACATCCTTGCCCCAGAGGGTCCATCTAGGTTGGCCTTGCCCCTGATAAGAACGATCCAGAACACTACTAGGGTCCTCTGGCAGACTCTGGCCTCAATACCACCCACTGCTAAAGGGTTGGTGAGATGCTATTTTGTGCCACCGAAAGGGTATGAATACCTTTTCACCCACCCCAACCTGGAGACTCTAGTGGTTGATGCGGCAAACCATAAGGAGCGACAGGGGCAGCCAGGTCCCGCTCCAAAGTCACAGGATGCTAAGAAGCTGGACCTTTTCGGCTGAAAGGTCTACTCAACTGGGGGGCTCCAGCTTCGAGTGGCCAACCAACAGGCGGGACTCAGCTGCTATGCTTTCAATTCCTGGGGCACATTAGCAAAGTTTCAGGAGTTGCTCCCGGCTGACTCGCGCAAGGAGTTTAATGTGCTTCTCGAAAAGGGCAGGGT